TTTTTTTTTTTCTTAAAAAAAAAAAAAAAAAAAAAAAAAAAAACGTAGGCGATCAAAGAGACAACGGTGTCCGCAAAAATGTGAAAGATTTACCTGCTCGTTTAAACTTTCGGGGCTGATTGTCGCGGACGACACAGAGATAGGCGTGATAGTACTTAATTCGACATAATTGCTCAAAGATTGAGGCCTGTCTATCGTATATCCGTCGATGTCAGTTTCTGGTTTCAACGTTTCGCTCAAATGTATAAAGTGCTCGACGATGCCGGAGTCATAAATGATCCTGCTGATCCATACGACCATCCATATCATGAACGTATTTGAAAAGAAACGTGTGCGCGCCCAGAAATTCACCAATCTCAGGCGCTTTGGCATCTTGTTTCCGCTCGTTGTATGAGTATTTTGTGCATTCGGGGCGATAACGTTCGTCGGACCAGCGTATAAACCGTTCAACTTAGGGTGAGACTTGGAGCGAAATATATGAGGCTTCCTGTTGGTGATGGTAGTGGTGAATTGCTGTTTGCGCGATGTTGGAATGTGCGATAAGTGAAACTTGGCCGAGTTCTCGTTAGACAGCACCGTTCGTCGAATGTCAATCGCTAAGACCGTCGAGTAAAATGCCATTTGCAAGAAGAAGTCACTCACTAATCCGACTATGGCGGATATGCAATATTTTTGAATAACGGGCACGAAGGTGAACAATCCGATGGTCAGGATCGTCACTTCTGTTAGTAGAGTCTTCGTGATGGACCATCCCTCCATTGATAGCCCCTGCGCGAAACGTATCTTCACGTCTAAGTGCGCGGGCATGCTGATGACACTCTGGGTCAACACCAGAACGTTTTCGAGACTAAAGATCATCAGGAACGGAAACACTTCTTTGTAGCTCATACTGAGAGTCAAACCAAAGAAGAAGCACACACCCAATGTCATACACAAGGAGCCCATCACCGTTATGCTAGCACTGAACGCGATACCAAGTTTCGATTTCACCAGTTCCATCTTCCGCACTGAGTAATATAAGTAACCAAATATCACGAGTATTCCCATCATCAACGGGAAGAACTCGCTATAGTCGAATTTCCCGGGATAGAAGATATTCAACATTTCGTCCTGCGCGTCCACAACGGTGACATTGTCAACATTATTCTGATGAAGTTTATAATAGCTCCTCAGTCGATGTTGCAGCCCCTTTATGAATCTAGAAATAAACGATATAAATTAATTATACGAGACATTAATATTTATGTCTCAATATGACCAATTTGTGGGTTATAAATACTTACTCGTGATCATACTCTTTTAAATATATGGTCACAGCGTATTGGAGAATCCTCTGACGAATCCGAATAGGATACCTCTTGATGCCCGTTTCCTTTAGGTTCATTCCAAACATCACCTCCGCGAGACTTATCTTACCCTTCTGAAAATTCTACAACAATATAAATGTAAAAGATACAGTAACTCTCACATTTTGAAATATGACACAAACACATTAAGAGCTGATTTTTTCAATAGCAAACTTATAAACTTAAATCTATAAGTTTAAACTGCTATTAAAAAGTTGACCCTAAAATAATAATGATTATAAATTATCATTAACAAAATATATTCATACAAAACGACGACACTTACCTGATAAGAAAATATTGTATTAATAAGATTTGTATCTTGGGAGAACAACTCTATACTTTGCTGCCACAGATTTGCAGGTGACAGCACAAGGCAGTTGTATTCTGGTAGAACTTCTGGTTTTTTCCCATTTCTCTTCTTAACTGCTTCAATGTGTAGGCACACTTGGCCCAGTGTTTTCAATCTAGAAATCAGAAATATCTCATCTCTCTTACATCCTCTGTGTTTCACTTCAATGTGTGTCAGCGCACTACTGTACTACGCAGACAGGTTAGTCCAGATGAGCCACAATAGTGGCTCTACTCACGTTTCTGGGTGTTGATAATTCTGTATAATCTCCAAGAGGTTGAACACCTCGTAAAGAGGCCCTCTGAAGGCGTCCATCAGGGTCAGGTCTTCTGCCCATGGTATCACTCCGACCCTGAGCACTACTTGCTGAACGTACAATACTGAAGTTTCTGTGCCATTGACTGGTATAGCAGTGTGGTTTATCACGATCTTCGGAGCATTGCCTGGCATGGGTAAATTGACGAGGGGATAACTGCAAAACAGTGTTACTTTCAATCATGTTTCAAACTTACAGAGAGAAATTGTGTACAACGTCGAGTAGACGAAGCGTAACTGACCAGCACAACAGAAGAACTGATATCGCGATTGAGATCGCGGCGATAGGATGAGACGAGAGGAACAGGCCATGGGTATAGTAGGCCCCCGCCACTCGATCTGGCAAACTGCGAGCCATTTCATCTATGTCTGTCTGAGTAACATCCCTCGATCAGTAGCGACTGCACTGGTGACTGACCTACGACGGTAACATTGGATCTGTTCATTTTTCGAAGAATTTCCGAGCCAATGCGCACCGATACAATAAGCCTGAGCGAAAGAAAATATATTTATTTCGCTCTAACTTAGTGCACACTAGTTCGGAAATTCTTCGAAAACGAACAGACCTAAGGTTAGTGCTCGCCGTGTATGCGGCAAACGTAACACGGCTGCGTCAGATAGGTTATAGAAAACAGAGCAAAAAGACGCACGTATTTTTTGTCGATTATCGCTGTTATTACGCAATTGACATATCGGACGGATTAAATATTCAGGCCGAAATATTAGCCTCTACATGAAAACACTCGACAGCCACTTGCGATTTCACGTTTTATGCAACAGATACACGCTCACTTGTCCTGATAGGTTAGAAGTTAACTGATAGCACAACTCTTATAGTGTACGTATTAAAAAGCGCAATAAGAGGCGTGCAGAATTACGGATTTTTGTTTTAAACATTTAGATTCTCAATGCTCGATTCGTCGTTGTGCGTGCAAAGAAGACTGCTGCGATAATCACAGGGAAACCGGGCAAAAAGAGGGGCAGAAAGAGAGAGAAAGAGAGAAAGAACGAATATTCGCGTCGTTCTCCGCAGCATTACGGGTCTCACTTACAGCATGTCCTAGACGTCGTGCTTCATCGTCGACATTTCTCTCACGATGTCCAGAGAGTCGATGACAAGTTAGTTGGATCGCGCGAATATTCGCGCGACCACGACCTGTCCGGGAGTTCTCTCTCGAGGAGACGTCGTCGCGAATGGACGTTTCCTGGTCGACGGCGCGCACCTCGTTCACTCTTTCGACCGTGACGCAAAATGTCGAGGAATATGCGCGCACAAACGCCACTAATTCGCCTAAATGCGGCACGATGCAGACAAAGACGAAGATGATACGACTAAATGATGCGTACGAGATACGCGCGCAAAATCGAGAGGCCCGTTAGAGGTTATGTTCGGTCGTTTTTGCGCGAGCATTAACGCGTAGTAGATAGAGGTTATTCGCAAGGACCATCGGGGAAGGGGTTCCGATTGCGCGACGCACTAGCACGCACTTACTGACGACGTGAATCGCCACGCTCGCACGTGTTTACCGCGCGTCATCGCACACGTAATTCGACTCGAGCGAATTGCGCGTCGACGGCGGCGAGGAACGAGCGGCGCGAGTGCGTAATCGTGCACGCCGTCGACGATCCGACCCGGCGCGAGTATGCACTGCTTTACTGCAATCGCACACGCGACGACTTGGTTCAGTGCGGCTTTTAACTCTTAATGAAGTGCACTGGCTGGTTCGATCGGAGTAGAGTCGCGACCGACGTGCCGGCGGGCTTTAATTTATTTTTAAATTAGCCCGAACGAGCCTTCGTCGAACCCCCGTCCGTCGACTAATCACAGGTGAGAACGTGCGGCGCGCGCGGCACAACGGTCACCGCCACGTTGTCGCTGAATGCACGTGGCGGAAGAAAAGGGAAGTAAAAAGGGAATGGCGCGGCGCGCGGTGCAGCGCGATGCAACACGGAAAGAGCATCTGACCGGGAACGGTTACGACGCGTAACTAACGTGCCCGGCGAGACGTGCGCGCGCGGCTGATCCGCGCGCGCGACCGCATGCATAATCGAACACTCGTGGTTTTGACGGGGAAAAAAACGGAAAAAGGAAAAACGATTTACTCTTTTCCCTACGCGATACGGAGCGCGCAGATAACACGGTATGTACCATGAATATTCTATGTAGTGTCCGATGCGCGCGATAGAATTTCTCGCGACGATATTTTTGCGCCTTTTATCTTCTCGACGGCTATTCGCGACACGCACAGCATTGGCGAAATGAGTGGATCGGACGTTTTCGCTGAACGGAGCACAACGTGCTCTGCTTTACATTGACTTTGGAGCGAGCACGTGGGTGGCACATGTCAGTTAGCTCTCCTTATTGTGACTCTTCGGCCCGCGAAGACGATGATACACGCAGTTTTATTGATTTTTTGCGATGAAATAGCAATGTGATTGTCATTCTCGATGAATAATGTAAAATAGATGCAACGAATAATGCGAGGATAGAGGGCGAAATTTAAAAGCGTCTCACATAGGCGTCGCTTCGACGATGGACATGCGACGGCGTACGTAGTGCGCCAACGCGACCGTTCGTCTCATTTCTCAAATTAATTGGGATGTTGTAGGTATAAAAGCGAAACTGAGCAAAATACCGTCGTGAAGTTCAAAGATGCCAGCCTTTTGATAGCATGCGTCCGCGACACGCGATGTTTATATACAGGAGACAGATATATGACTCTCGATTTCCTTTTTCCGCTCGGGCGCACATGCATAAGCGTCGCGCGTTGTGGGCACATGCTACCAAAAACCTCCGACCTAGCATCTCTGATGAAATCTCGTTATGATGTCATGAATATGGATTTACGGAGAAACATCGATTAAGTAACAAAGAAATGGAAAAGGAAATTTAAATGTTCAATGAACGAATGCATTACGACAGAAAGACGTCACGTGTGTTGGCAATTATTACAATATTACACGCCACAGGTGGTTGTCCTACAAATTTCTCGTTAATATTGTTCAACTCTTTTATCTGTTGCTGTTTGTTTATTATTCGATCGTATGCATAATCGATGGGAGACCTGAATAACGCAACTAGAGTTTAGTCTTACGGGTAGTATACAAAGGAAAAAAAAACCGTTTGGAAAAATTTGAGAGATATTTCGCAGTCCATATCTTGTAAAATTATAGATTTCCACATTCCGTGAGAGTCAAAAATTGCGAATTTATAATCAAAGATTCGCGAGTTAGAAAATTCTTGGAAAATCAAATTCCCAACCACTTGTTCCATGATAAAAAATATTTTGAACGTTACGTTCATCCGTCATATTGTTTATGACATTCAGCAGACATTTCATAAACTCATTCTTAAAATTGTCGAATTTCTCTCTACCTCCCTCAGGGAGGTACCTACTCTACTCTCTTCTTCTGCTACTGTTTATATTTAGTTCTCACGCGAACGACACTTGGAAATTATTTAGAAATACGACTCTCCTTAATGAAAATTCCTTCGCGCGCGTGTCTTTCAGTCTCGACCCTTCCTTCTCAATATTCATGAGAAAATCCGCATGTACATGACGTCTGTGTGAGGAAGAAACGCGCGGTTACGTTGATACATAGTTATTGGGCCGACTTGTCGTTGATAACGCACAGTCCGTCCCGCGCGTGCAAATTTCTCGCTGCTCGATTCTTCGCGAGCATAACTTCATATCGTCGAAGTGGACATCTCGCGCGGCCTATTATCCCGCGATTGACGCATCTAATTGCATCAATTGCATAATAAATGGAAATTAAGCTGTTGCAAATGGTCAATATCACTGGCAGGGGTCAATCGTCTGCCGACATGCATGCGACTTCAAAGTTCACGTTGTCGCGTGCGCATTTTGAAAAGAAAAATCACCTAGCGTTAGTATATTGTCAGATTGAAATGTCGAGCGTCTAAATGATTATCATAATAGTGATCATCGATACGAAAGCAAAGTTCTGCTCGAAAATGCTACTGCAAACATAATTAAGGTATTTTCTCTTCAAATAACTTTATCGTTCAGAATATTTGGACGGAAAATTATTGAATAACTTTTCTTAACATCTATTTTTACACTAAGAGGAAAAATATTTGAAAAATGTTTATTCGAATACTAATAACATATCTGCTTAACATCTTTTTCCTATTTACTAAAAAATCTAAATTCTTTTATTTAAAAAAAATAAATTGCTCTTGTAAGCTAAGGTTTTCTTCATGTTTTATGAAAATGTATATTTTCTTATTTGAAGGATATTTTATATCAGTATAAGAGTAAATATATTATTAGTGCCGATCAAATAAATATATTTTATTTCTTAGATATTTTTTCTCTCAGTCGATCATCCATTTGATATTTAGCACTTCATTATTCTATATTTTGATTTAAATTCACGTATATTTGATTGGATCTGTAAAATCATCCAACACGATCAACTATTCAGTCGGCGTGATTTCTTAATTTGAGCGATGTATGTGTGTGTACATACAAGCACCGTTTTTTATTAGACTTTTGTTGTTCAACGTTATCGCGAAAGATTTCGCATCAGTTTCATCTTTCCGCCGACGGAGCCCGTAGAGGACAATTTCCGCGAGATTTGCTCGGGACAAAAACCCGACTGGGACAGGCAGATGTATAAAGTACGCTTACCTATTTATATACGGGCAAGTTGTGCGCGAAACCGCTCTCCGTTCGGACACTTCCCCCGGGGAAAAATCGTTGGCGAATCTGTCGGAGAATCTATTCACCTGTTAGCGGGACGTCGACATAAATGTCGCGGAAATGACGTAAGGCGGTGTCCCACGTCCGTACTCGATTCCGTGCGAGATAAATCTGTCTGGCGTTTAACGTTACGAGCGTACGAAATTCTTCGTGGCGTATGCGGCGCGTAGCGCGTGTGCGTCGTTCGCGACCGTAACCGCACGATTTACATAGAATTTCTTGCCGAGCTACGTGACGCAGTAGAGGCGGCGAAGCGCCGACGCGAATATTGGAGACGATATTAGCGGCACCGTCGCGTTTGCATATCCGTTAACGTGGCGTGTATTATCGAGAAGAGTACCGACTAGCGCGAGTCCTGTCTTCCACATGACGTACGACTTTGACCGTTGCATCCTCATTCCGAGACTCGTGGGCGAGCGGAGGAAGAGAAGAATTGGCGAAAACACCGTATATCCGCGTCTCATCCCGTCAATTATCGATATACGCGATAGTTCTTCTCTTCATGATCGCCGAATTAAATAAAGACGACTTTATTCCAATAGAAACACGAATGGCGCATCGTATTTTTTCGTGTTAAACGACAAATGACAAGAGCGAATCGCATCTAGCGCATTGAGAAAAGCGGCAAAGAGAACGGAGGCTTCTCATCATTTCCTCTCGAAACGTCAATGTTATAAAATGCAGATAGGGTAAAGCATACAATCCCCCTCAGCATCCCCCTAGTCATTGACATTCTGAAAAAAACCTGGTTTTTCGTGCGATCACCGTTGCAGTTAAGCTTCTTGCCTGCACTCTGTGATTCCAAAGCTGAGATCTTCACGGCTGAAACTGTGAACAAATGTCGTTATGATGAAAGTCGTCGAGACAAATTTCTGCTTGCTCTCTAGATTTCGTGCAATGAAATTTCACTCGAAAAGCAGAGTGATCACTTAATCACTCGAATTTAAGTCTCTTCACTCTTCATTCATATAAAGTTGATTCTTCATTCTGAGTCGACGAGTGAGTTTTTCCACTCGAAATTGAAGAGTGAATCTGATGTACTTCAGCGTTACACATTCACCCGAGTCAAAATTTTGATCCTATTTTCAACCTCAATATTCTACTCTTAATGCCTACTTTGATATTCTGAAGCTTATACAACCTCTTTAAATCTGTTTAACCTATTAGCTTTGCAGCTAGATTTACCCCTTGTCTACAACTTCGCTTTAATTCTTAAGCCGTAATAAATTGACCAACCACAGTTGATTATTTTAAAAATAATCAACTGTGGTTGGTTAATTTATTACGGTTTAAGGATTAAAGCAAGGTTGTGGGCAAGGGGTTAAAATGTACAAGTGACATTTTGCGTGTTTTTTAGCAATTAGAGACGCTAAATAGGATTTCTATGCGCGTAACATATACCTACACTGATCTTTGAGAATATACAGATGTTAGAAAATTCAGGTCCAAAGTAGGACTAAAATTTCGACACGGGCGTCTTGTTGACTAATATCCGTTTCTACCAACATCGATTTAGTCTTAACTTGAGCTTGAACTTTACTCAAACAAAGCCTTAAACCCAGGTTAAGGTTTACTCGACATTGGTAGAAAAGTGCATGAAGAGGATGCCAATAATTGTGTGGTTTCCTATATGAAAATTTCTTTTCTTGTATTTTCTTCTCACCAAAGAATAAGATCCATCTCCCAAGTGGCCTCGGTTCCATTTACGCCGGAGATACACATTATATCTTATAATTACGCTGAAACTCTGAGGTAATCAATTACACGCGTACATCAAGACCGCATTGTAGATTATGCTAAGCGATCATTACACGAAGTCGTAACGCCGTACGGCGTTACATTATCACTAAAGTCCTCGAGGGATCTCGTCGACGGCTTTCATTATAACGGTAAACCAGTAAAATTTTATGCCGTTTTCCTCGGCGGAGCCCTCGCCCCTCCGGAATAACGGGACCGATATCCGCGGCTCGGGGTACGAGGCCGCTTATAGGCGATAGGCAAATGGAGCCTATAATAAAATCGCTCCGATAAATATTAATGATCGCGCTAGCGTCGCGCCGGGTGCTGTTAGTTAGTTAGGGCTCGATGGCTCTCATCCGCCCCCATCGATGAAATCGATACCGAAGTCCTGTTAGCCCGAAACTCGGATTTAATCCTCGACAAAGTCTCCCGGGTCGAATATATTCCGCGCGCGTTTCCAACGAAAAAGACATCAAAGAGATATCTGTTCATCTTTCGTTCCCTCCGCGCACCCT